TCGAGCTCAGCGAAGAATTTGCTCGGGTCCGGATCCTAAGTAGACTTAGCGGTGCTATAGCAGCAGAACAAGTGTGGTACTCACTGGTATACGCAGCATAAACATCTCGCAAAAAACGAGTTCGCTAGCGAAGTCTCCGTGCTGAAAGAGCAACGCGTTTGCTGGTGATAAGTCAGCCGTTCGCAACCACAAGTCGCCTACACCAGGGTCAGGCTTTGGAGGGCGCGTCGGTTTGTGTCGAGGAGGTACGATGCGAGGTGAACGAAAGACGTTGGACTTGAGCATAATTCGTGAGCACGAAAGGGGAGTGATAGCGCGGATTGCTGCATCTTGGTTAAAGCCGAATATGCTGTGGCTTGAAACAAGATAGCGTCGCTGTCCTAGTCAGTATCGCTAGAGATAACTAAGCTGACAGGTGAAAGATGAAGGACGTAGGTACTTAACTTAGCGACATGGAAGATAAGTTGGGATATGTCAGTCGCATCGGCTATCTTACACGCAACTAGACGCGCGCAGGTACGGCTATTTCCACCAGCACCTGCTGGTCATCTAATGTTCGGAAAGCTCGAGGGATAGCTAAGGTACCTCAGTTATCCTAGCTATCTATGCGTCGAGCTAATTTGCAACAAACACAGTGAGTTACCGCAGGTGGGTAGCGCTCCCGGCAAGGTTGATGTGGCCGCGCCGCGCACTGCCGCAGGAGAAGACAAAGGAGAAGCATAACACAGAATTAACCGTGACGCGCGTATCCGGTCACGTGCCTTCCTGTCACCCCTCTGCCACATTCTCGACTTAGACCTGCCAGGCATACGTTTAACCATACAAAGCAAGTCCATTCATTCGTTATGCCAAACTCCATACATTAGCTACTGAAGCTATCCAATAAATCCCCGGAATATGCCGTTACCTTGATGCTCTCGACCCCTCTAAAGTCTATATCCTCAAATGAACCATCCACAATTGTCTGTAGAGTCGCGGGTGCATGAGCGGAGGACTTAATAAAAAAAATTGTGGCCAATGAAAGCGCAGAACCACACGATGTTGCATCGACGTCGATCATCAATCAACACTGCAGCATGAATGTCCGGCAATGTTCCCATACCCTATCCAGACCCTCCTTCATCACTAATGCGGCAGTGACCTATAATCTTAGCACAATGAAAGATACAATATTTACCATGGAGGCAGTCATTGTTCAGGCATCAGAAGCGCTATTTCTGTGCACTGGTGGCACCGTGACAGTCAGGCCCCCATTCTCGAGGCCCTGTACTTGTTGTGGACCGAAACATATATTTCACGCATACGCCGAAGCGTGGCTACAGAACATGCCAGAGTGCGATAGCTCACGGATCAATCACCTCCATCACTTCAGCAAGTGCTCCTCCTCTTGCTTCTGGTCAACGTCTTTACTGCGGGGAGCTACAATCCCACACGTAAAAACTGGTTGTTCGGGGAGAGAAGAAAGGAGACGCGAAAGAATATCGACGAGAAGCACGAATGCGAGTTGTCATTCCTACCGGTAGGAACTCCTGCGTACCGCTATTCTCCGGTAACTGAGCGAGGCCAAACAACAGACATCTTGTGCCCATTGGTCTGATTGTTGACTGTGGCGCCCAATCAGTCCTTGATTTAACCAGGGAGGTCGCTGTCCCTGCATTCTTTCGAGAATGGAAGGGTGGGAGGAAGGATCTGGAATGTGCCAAGATCAAAATAATACTGCTCTGGTAATTAAAGGTGGATCGTCGGAACGATACCTAGCAGGACGAGAAAAAAGTACTATTCTGGGGTTATATGCATCCGCAGAGTTAGAGAGATGTAGCTCGGGATTATCGCCATTGTGGAACTCTGTCCTCGTTTCTGTCCAATCGCAGAGGCACTCTTGGAACACAGCAGTAAAGAGCCGCAGATTGAGCCCGGCCGTCTAGCCGGAAATATCCGAGAGGACGAAGCACAGCGTTTGTGCCACACCTCAGGTCGTATTCTGCATCCTACGTACGTCTAGCCTTAGATCACACATTCATGGCCGCAACGACAGCGACCTATAGATGGAATCCCACGATCAACATAGCCAGTGCAGGCGCCGAAGAATCACTAGATAGCCTGGAAGCGACGGAAGCATCAGGAGGAGACGAATCGCAAGAAGAGGCCACCGATGCAGCTGGGCGTCAGTAAGATCAGACGGTTATGCGAGTGCTATAATTTCATTCTGTTGGCTTTGGTGTTACGGCACCGAGACGAGCCACAGGTATGCCACAATGGCACTGCGTCGCATCCTATGCTGAATATCCAGTCAATATAGATGATTGCATTCCACAATAACCAATTGACGAACCTCTCTACGGAGAACCTTCTAGAATTCGAGGACGAGTTCCTCTCCTTGATCAGGGAGTATTACGAAGACAAGGAGAATTGGATGCCCTTCGAGGCCCTGAGCACGCTGGTGCCGAATGAACAAAGTGAGGAAGAGGAAGACTATGCCCGAAGCCAGCTACGTGAAATAGAAGATACGCGCTATGTATCCATCTTCCAGCAAGACTACCGATATCCATTCGAAACACCCGGACAGATGGAGGTTTCCCCAGAGCGATTGCGCTTTGGAGACTTCTGTAGCAGTCCGGGTGACGATGACCCTTCGGCATCCACGAGCGCGGGAGTGACGAGGAAAGTGAATGATGAGGTCGAGTATGGGTCGGAGATCAGGGTATCAGAGATTACAGCCGGGGTATCAGGTATATGTTTGTGAGCACGGAGCGCTATGTGGTCTAAGCCAGTCCCCTGCAAGATCATGCTTACCAAGCATTGTCTGGACGCCGATTTCCTAGACAAATATCCTCCGCAGTTTGACGAGAGGATCCATTCCACGGCCTATGGCAGCTGTGTGACAGAGGATTGGATAGAGGCAATATTGGTCTGATTGGTAGCAGATATTCCAAGGTCCATGTTATTGTGTCTCATCTTGCTCGCAGTTACGTTATCGAATCTGGAGCGTTGCGCCGCTGACAGTGGGAGATGCACCTGACACACCGCATACCGGAAGAGGTCGTATATGTGTGAGATGAGCGGATTGGCGCGGTTAGACATAGGATTCAAGACGACCTCGGAGGACTTCGCTTGAAGAGTCTGAAAATATTCCGACTGACGGGGTCCACGACACGGCGAGAAAAAGCAGGCGATAGATACATGGACAAAGGTATACGTATGGGCGCAATCGCCTAAAAGAACCACCTATTAATCTCGAGTTCCTGATATAAAGAGTGTTGTGGGTGTAATCCTACCTTCGTCAGGCCGTAGGCAACGATCGCATTGGCGACATCCCCTGCGATCCTCCCTGACATCTTAGCCCTAGCCTCCGTGCCGTCTTCAGGATTCACAGGCATCATTGGCTCTTTCTCATACCCGAAAAATCCGTACCTCCTCCCAACCTTTTCCGCCCATTTCTCTCCTTCAGCAACCCACGTCTTCCATTGACCTCTCATCCAATGTTCCATCGACCATTGATCTGGTGCCGATGGCAGAGTGGTCTGTGCGACATGCAAAAGACGATCTCCTACGCCTAGAGCACGAGCACCGTAGAATACACCAACGAGAGAGGCGATAGCAGTGACTTCATGCAGAACCGCGAAGGAAAAGATAAGGGAAGGCAAAGCGGTCCCCGTACGTGCAGAAAGCGCTCTCAACGCATCCCTGTATCGCCCAGTCATACGTCCGGTTGAAAGAGTGTTCTTTCTCTGGTCCGTCATTATTCAGCCAGCGAAGAAGGTAGGAGTTCAGAAGGAAATAAACGACAACATAAGATATGTTTTTCCCACGGCGCGCGTCCCGAAATTTCCGCGTAAGAAACGTCCTCTCCGCCATGCTGTCGCGGTCATCGGTGCTCGTTCCCCTCTGCCGCTACTGCCTGCGGCGGGCATATTCTACGGCTCTCGAGAGCCATGCGGGCGCTGCATCATCGTCGTCATGGCCGCGACAGAGTTTGGAGCCTGGCGTGAAGCCTTACAGCAAGAAGACACTGGATGCTGACAGCAGACCGCTCATGGCCAAGGGGATGGACAACATGATATACGTGAAGGTGCCGGAGGGCATTGATGGGACACCACAGGCGTTCGCGATTTTACGTGCTATCGAGCGGAAGTATGGCCCGTATAGAGACTATCAGTTCTACCGCGTGCGTCCCGTTTTGTCTTACACCGCGCTGTTCTTGCTCACCTCTTGTTCTTACTCTTATTTAGAACTACGACTCCACGGAGATCTACTTGAACTATCTGTATGTGAGCTTTATCAGCCCGACAGTGATCGAGCGTATAGATCCCAAAGGGGAGACCCTCGAGGTACCACTCCCCAAGTATAGTCGCAACACCGCAGGCGGCGCCGGTTTGGAAGATATTCTACCCATGCTACTCCGCGATAGCCATAATAAACCCGATATGTTCTCCAACCAGACCACCGTAGTTCAAGTCAAGCCCGCCGGTACGTTGCCTTCACTCCAGGTCTCTCTTCCTCCTAGTCCTAATTGCTTATGTGCGGGTAGGCGTCAAAGAAGGGGCCCGTCGACTTACACTAGCCTCGGAAGATACGGGTCTCCGGTCACGCGCGTTCAAGATCGCGGTCGGACACGGCTTCAGCGAATGGTGTGGGTTTTTCTCGGGCGCACCCGGTCCTCGTATGACCGATGCCGTCGAGAAATGGCGGACTATACTGGAAGGGAAGGTTGTCCCTCGAGTAGCTCAGGGTGGCTCCCAACAAACGGAGCCGGCTCTAGCTGAATCCGCTGAGACCGTGACCGCTCAGGATAGTCAGGAGCCTACGTATTTGGAGGAAATGCCGCACGTTCCAACGCGAAGGCCCTCGCTCGCCCAGCTTGTGTCTGCGAGTCAACAAGCGCAACAGGTTCAGCAAAAGGAGCAGCAGCGACAGACTGAGGTCTCCGCTCCCCAGTCGTCCTCATCCCACACGCCATCCCCTTCGCCCACCGTCAGACCTGAGCCCCCTGTGAAGTCGGACTTGAGCCCGAAGCAGAAGAAGATACTACAGCGTGCAGCGAAACTTAGTGCGAAAGCGAAGATGCCTAAGAAGGAGAAGGAACCTGAGAAGGAGAAGGTGGAGGAAAAACAGCCTGAGGACCCGAAAGGGGAGAGTAGTACAGTGTCGAAACTGTTTGGTTTCCTCGGTGGGTCAGGTAGGCGATGGCTGTAGGCTGGCTAGATTCTGCCTCTGGTTATAAGGAATTGATATCCCGGCGCTGCTCCCCTAGTACTCTCTTGCGAGGTCGTATCGCTCCAGCGTGCTATAGTCTATCTAACGTATGACCTAATCGTGATGCATCTCCGCAAAGCCTCCGGCATCGCGACTTGGACATTCTCTCAATGCTATAGCACCGTGACCATGGTTTCAGTAGACCATAAGATATGCCACAAATCGTAGGATGAGATTCGCTCTGTTCGAGCGGGAGGATTCGGAGACAAATACTACACTTGCCTTTCTTGGTTCCGGATCCTAGTTTCCACGGCACCGTCACTTGATTCATTGCCACACCGAACTTCGCAAGGTCATCACAAACAGGTACATCAAGTTGTGCATCATAGTCACTGCGTAAAGGACCTCGTACTTACGTTAACGTTATGGCAGCAGCATTGACAGTTGGCTCTCGCTGGTCAAATCTTCTCATTGAAGGACTTCAAACTGTGGGCAAGTACGGTTTCTAACGCTCGAATTCCTAGCTATTTAAATAACTCTGGTTCAGAAGCCATGTCACTTTCGCGATACACTGCAGGGGCACTGGAAACCTTGACAGAATCAGAAGTGCAGTTCCTTCGGGACCTGCCCAAAGCTGAGTTGCATGCCCACCTCAACGGATCGATCCCCCTCGATGTGCTACAAGAAATGGCCCGAGATTATCTCTCGGCGAATGGAGCTAGTGGCTCCACCGTGTCAGAAGCGGTCAAAATGGGAGTCCAAAATCTGACGCAAGGAGTGCAACTCAACGAAATACACGAATTCTTTGGCCTGTTCCCGGCGATTTATGCCTTGACATCTTCTCCCGAACGCGTTGCAAAAGCTGCTCGAGCCGTTCTGCATTTATTTCTGGATGACCCGAACCCTCAATGTGCATACCTGGAGATGAGAACAACCCCCCGTGCTACTGAGTCGATGGACAGGCGTGGCTATCTGCTGGCAGTGCTCGAGGAAGTCGAAAAATATCCAGCAGACAAGGCTGCTTTGATAGTTAGCACGGACCGACGCATGGACGAGACGATCGTGGAAGAATGTATTAACCTGGCCATCACACTGAAGGAAGAAGGGCGGAGGGTCGTCGGTATTGACCTCTGTGGTGATCCGCGGGTATGTTGTCACTTAAAGGTTACCTTGTTCTCAGCTACCACTGTTTCAGGCCGGGGAACTCCAGCGGTTCGTCAAACACTTCCAAAATGCCAAGGCGTCGGGACTGGGTGTAACTGTCCATATCGCCGAAGTGAGAAATAATCGGGAGGGAGGTGACCGGTGGGAAGACTGATCAGCATTTTTCTACAGACAGTTGACAATCCCACTTCCGAGACCGATAATCTGCTTCGCGCGTTTGCACCGTCGAGGCTAGGCCACGCAACGTTTCTCGACGAAGAGGCCATGAAGATAGTGTTCGAGAAAGATATAGCCGTTGAGCTTTGCCTCACAAGCAACCTTCTGTAAGCCTTTATTTTCCGACAGGCTAACACGGATGACACTCTTGTGTCCTTCTCCCTTCTTAGATGCAAAACCGTGAAGAGTCTCGAGGATCACCACATTCGCTTTTACCTGAAACAAGATCA